CGGAAGTGGTTTGCCAGTGCCTCCTTCCTAGAACAGAGCCCAGTTGGCGAGCGCAGGAGGCGGGGTTTCCATTGCTTTACGCCATTTTTGGGCGTGCGCGGCTTCCGCGCTACTGGCAATTGCTCCTGTCTCCTTTGCAAGGCGCTGCCAGCATTTTTCCTCCCACCGGGGTGAGAGTCCCCATTTATCTACTCACTAAGTTTTCGAGCTGTTGGGTTGGCAGGAGCTGGGGAGGAAGCAGGAGCTGGCTCTGCCGTACGGAGCTGGGCTCGAACCGCTGAAGTGTCGACCATTTTTGGCCGGCAACTTTCAGCATCATTAAGCCGCTGTGCCACCGCGTCCCTATACAATCAGAATATGCCTACTCAAATACATTAGAACTTGAGGACTGCCTTATCCTACCTAGATGGGTATATTATGATCCTTGCAATATGTAGGCCTATCTACAGAACAATCTGCTTGTTGTGACATTAGGCATTTTACTAAATGTAAGTGTAGCACAGAGAGTGGTTTACCATTTTTATTAATTCCTTTTTCCTATACCTGCTATACTTGTTTAATACTGTAATGCTTACAATAAACTCTTATTGGATCTATTTCCAGTTTTTGTCACAGTAGCCTTTGGACTTGCAATAATGCTTTCTCACCAATCGTTAATCTTAGTATATATTCCACCTGCACTGGATAAGAGTAAAGATCATATAGAAAATCCTTTGTTGTTCTCTTAAATCAGCCCTTTTCCACCAGTTGCAGTTTCCATATCTTTATAGCTGCTGTGATAGTTCTTCTGCTTGAGACACTACAAAGATCATTGGTTGCTGCCCTCTTATTCAAATAAAGTTTGTTCCTACAATGTCCTATGCCTGACCCATCCCCCCCTTGTTTCCCCCCTCCTCACAGGGCAGAGAGATTGCTTAAACAAACTCTCTCTTCCTGAGCTGCTCTCCTCCCCAGCGCTAACAGCAAGTTAATAATCTCAGCTCTGTGACCTTAATTACAGACAGTCCCCTACTTACAAACTTTTGAGTGGCGAACTTTTGCCGATATGAACAAGATGGTCCCAGAAGTTGGGAGAAGGCAGGAAAGGGTTAGTTTCTGGTGCTCCGCTGACTAACCCTTTCCTCCTTTCTCCTGCCTTCCAGGAGGTTGGAGGTTTGTGTTGGAGTTGGAATTCCCAGAAAGGTTTAGTTTACTCAGCATGCTCCGTCACTGGCTGAGGCAGGAACCACCCCCTTCGCCCAGGGACCCATTGCCACCTCTCCTGCCTCACCTGGTGATGGAGTGTGCCACGCCCCACCAGCTCGTCCCATTATGCTCTCCACAGTCTGCAGGCTATTGCTCCTCGCATTGGCAGCAGAAGACAGGGCTCCTCTGCCCACACTGCTGCCCCGCCTCCTGCCTCCTCCTCTTGTTTTTACTTTTTATTTATTTTATTTATTTATTTTGCTGGATTTCTCCCCCGCCCATCTCCCCCACAATAGGGACTCTGGGCGACTTACAAAAAACATTAAAACTATAAATATATATAAAATACATAATAC